TGTTGTTTACAAAGATGGGCTTTTGCATACAATATTTGCTGCTTTGCATGAAATGTGTCAGAAATTTACTTGATATATAATGTAAACGTATATGATATGGGACGCTCCATTTATGTGCATTATATTGAACAGAAATTTACACTACTTTTTCGAACTGTGTAGGAAAAAGTATCCAACATTGTTGGAAAGGCATCTGTGCTGAAGCTTATGAGTAGCGTGAGATCATAAATCCGCTCCTTGGCTTACGACTGATCGGATCTTAGATTTTCTACGTTTAACTGTAATATAATACTATATAGATTAAATAAAAATAAAAAAAAGAGTTACGTTATAGTTTTTTTAATCATACTTAGACATTCTGAGGCACCCTATATGTGTAGGATCTCGAAATTTTATCTTAGCCTTAGAATTATGACAACTCATTTTATACCGTGGACTTTTAATTTTCATTTGAATTCGAAGATATCTATTCTTTAGTTCCAGAATATTCAAAACATGATACTGGGATTTCAAAAACTATTTTTATTTTAACTTTCAGAATCTTCAAAACTGTTCATGGGCAGAGGTCTTGGTAATTTTCCTAAAAATTCCAAGTCCTAGAATGTGTTCATCTATGTCTGAGATTTCAAAGCTCTAGATTATTCAATATTCAAGATCTAAAAAAAAAAATCAATCCTAGATCCAAAATTCATAAAACTATATAACTCTGATCTCTTGATACTTTTCCTACACACTTAGTGTTGTTTGCGATTAACCCCGCCGAGTAGCTCGGCTGCTGATATCTCAACTAACAAACAGAAATCTCAGTAAAAATAAATGCCGAGCTCGGTGGAGCCAATCTTTGCATAAAATCTAAGTGTGTATGCTCAAGATCCTTAAATTTATGAGATCCAGATGTGACTACATTATGAAAAGTTTAAACAAACGATAATTGGTTCTTTAAAATCATGAAGCTGTTAAGGCTCCCCCGAACGAGGTCCCTTGCGTTGTAATGTAATAAATAACATAAAATTTAATGTTTTACTATTACAAAAATAGTTAATCTCACAACTATAGGTTAAATTATTTGTCGCAGTGGAAATGTACACAACAAACGCCATTCGATTGAATAGCATTTTAACGAGTTTTTATCTAACAAGTTCAACAAACTAACAAAGAAACAGGTCCTCTAATGACTTTCTAGCTAGCCAATTATATCAATCCCATCAACACATACTTTGTTGAAATGTTAAGGGGGGAAATACAAGTAACACGTCAAAAACTCGACGATTTTCGGAATATTTTTGTGAGCAAATGAAACAACGCAAACGTTTGGGGTTTTTTGCATCAAATTGCTTAAATCTTCCTCTACATTTGAGATTTTTTTCATTGGTGTGTGACCTCTGTGGCTCCTTGGGGTCACATCGGAAGGAGGTCGCCTCCGGTGGGGATTGGTAATTGGCGGGCGTTCTAGAGACCTGAAAAATGGACAAAACTTACTTTTATCAATTGGACCTTATTCAGAAAAGATTTTTGTTCTATGTGAACCTCATAAACCCAAAAACAAACGATTTAAAAATTTAGAAAAAAATATCTGAAAGTTGATTGTTTACTGTTTTTTTTCCACTTGCAGACCTGAAAATTATTTATTGATATCAGTGGTTCACATAGAGTAAAAATCTATTTCCTTAAGATGTACCAGGTTTCAAGTCATTTGGATGAGAACTTTTTAAGTTATCTTTCCCGCCAATTTGGAAAACACCGTTTCGAGAAAAACGCGTTTAAAGTTTTGGGTTGTGTAAAAACATGATTTCTGGAACGGTTAATTATAGATACCGAGGCCATAGATCACTCCTTCCTCGTGCTCGTAGCATTAAAAAAAAAAATTAAAGTAAAATCTAAATATCGATAAAAAAAATTTTTTAACTTGAGCTCAAATCCACCGGCGCCGTTTTCATCATAAAATATTGTGCGTGCGACTGAAAACCAGGGCCACGAGCTCTAATGTCGCAAGTTATGGCTGCTAGTGCAAGTTTTTAGCAGCAGCAAGGTCACGAAAACCAAGTTACATCGCGTTTTATTCGAAGCGTAACAAAGATGAACGGTTCATAAGGCACTGATTAGCCCATAAATTTCTGAACCTCATTAAAATGAACCAACAGAAAAATAGCGCATGCCTCACAACTGTTTGTCCAAAACTGTATAGAGTGTTTTTTTTTCAATTTGTTAAACCTAATGTTCAATTTTTTTTACGGATTAATACAAGAAGCAGTACTGGAAATTTATTTAGTATAGGGAATGCGACCTTTATTTCTCGAAAGATTTTAATAGAGTTAAATAATTGTGACCGGTGCGTAAAATTTATAAGTTTTACACACTTCTCTGCTGTTAATGATCTGGTGTGACTGATCTATGTGTTACCTTCCAATAGGAGAAATTATAACTTATTTGGTTGATTATACTGTTAGAAATACCATGTTTAAAGAAACCTTTAAACAATTAACTAGGGTTTATATACTTCAAATTCACAGAAACTTTTCTCCCAGTGAAGAATTAAGAATATTTTTTGAAACATGGACTCCTTTGTCATTGAAAAACGACCAGACCTACTTATAATCTATAGATGATTATTGGCAGGAGGAATTACGACTGCTTTTTACAATCTAAAATCATGCGACGAAACACACTGGGTTGGATTTATTTCTGGTTCGTCGCGATTCAATGTCTGATTGGAAGGAATCATGTACCAGCACAGGTTGACCTCATCTTTTGTTTTGTTTATTTGAAAATATAAAATTTTATATTTACCTTGTAAACGAATGACCATCACCTTTATGACATCTTCCATTAAAATACGCATCTAAGAGGAAGATGAGACAATATACGGGGGCGAAAACAAACCACTTTTCTGTCAAACGCGAACCAGCTCGTGATTGGCCGATTTGAAGTGCGTACACACTTAGTTTTTTTTTCTACCGAGCTCGGCTGTGCAAATCCAAGCAAAAATAAGTTTCACTGAGATCTCAGCAAAAGTGACATTTGATTCCTGTGTATCGGATAATGCTTAGATGAATGTTAAATGTTTGAATAGATCACAGTAAAAAATTTTTGGCCGAGATTTGCACAGCCGAGCTCGGTAGAAAACACTAAGTGTGGAGACTAAGATTGAGATCGAGATAGAGATATAAGTGAACCCCACACGATTGATTTTATTGACAATAATCGTATTGTCAATAGATTCAATATTGACGTCAATACATCGGTATTGACAATATTTCTGTACTCACATCATCAATATTATTGTCAATAATTCCCCTTCGTGTCAACATATTGATGCGTGTGGGATTTGCTTTAGATACAATATTTCACGCACAGACGAGCTTAAACTAAAAAAATTTGTCACATAAATTTCACTGGAAAAAAAACCTTCAGGTATAATAAATGATCTGAAAAGTACATGACGTTAACAAAATTCATTACAAATATTAAAAGCAATGTGATAAGCTTTGAAACTTAGATGAAACATATATATATTTTTTTAATTTCATGTAAGATAATTTCACTTAGATTCTACATGAATTTATAGTGTGAAAATTTCTGAGTGGCGATAGCATGAACAAAACCTAATATGGCGTCCGAATGCTGACGACCGGTTGCTAGATTTGCCAAATCCATTGGATTTATTTAATTTTCTGAATAGTAAGTTGTTTTAATTTCGTCATCATACAGCATTTACTAATCATAATTTTTTGTAGAACGAGGAATCGACGAGTTTGATTTCCTTACTTCTCACCCAAAAGATTGGCAGAGGAAGTGCAACTGGCTGGGGGCGGCTGGCAGTTGCATTGCATTGGATTGTAAGTTTTTTGTGTGTGTATAAAATAGCTTAAACATAGAGATAACCCTAAGACCAGCAGGTCCCGAAGGAACGTGCACAACTTTTTGGCTCAGCTCTGGTACTATCCTCGGTCCCAAGCTAATCGATGAACCCCTCGAAACATAGGAAAATCCACGAGCCCCTAATTTTATCTGTCAAACTTTCATATCGAATCAAAACAAACATAGTGCAGTACTAGAATTTTTACTAGAATGGGATACGTTAATCGATTTGCTTGGGACCAATAGACTAGTCAAGTAGTGAGCCAATTTAAAATCGTCAGTTTCCACCGGTTGGCTTAAACGTGCAAGGGACAGTTCATTAACTACGTAGACAGTTTTTTTAATTCATTACCCCTCTCCTTCTGCGCAGACAATTGTCCATACAAATTATTAAAATTAGTATGGGCTGTGAATAATTGCCAACCCCTCCGCCCCCCTAAACTGTCTACGTAGTTTATGAAAAGCCCCTAAATACATATAAGAAACCATCTGCATTAAGCTGAACAATAAAATAAACAAACAATTATCTATTCAGTTATTTTTATTATTTCAAAAAAACATTTTAGAACGCCTAGCAACAGTTTGGATGCTACGAAGAAATTTACTAAAATTTATGTGAAAGCGTAATAAAATTCACTTAGAAAGTACTATAAAATCTATGTTGCTTTCTAGTGGATTGGGGGAAGATCTTTTCACTTTGAGTAATTTTCACTTAGATGTTACATGAAAATATAGTGAAATTTACTTCACAGGTCAATACTACCTACTACAATTTTTTATTTGGATTGAAATTAAAACTTTAGAACCGATCTACATATGAAAAACGTAAAATTTACGTGAAAAACTAGATGGAAAAAATCTATGTAAACATGTAACATCTAAGTGAAAAAATTTCTGAGTGTATTCGTTCGTCTGACTATCAGCATAGTGTAGTGTAGTGTAGTTAGGGTTGTCAGTACCAGACCCTTTTGCTAGTACCGGTATTTCGGTACCGAGAGATTCAGTATCGCTGTTGATGCATATATTATGTTACGCTCTAGGGGGGAGGGGGGGAGGGTGGTTAGGGGGTCTAAGATTTTGTGACAAGCAATGCATTAGGTATAGGAAAAATCTAAATACTAAGTATACATCCATGCTTAAGAGCATTTTTTGGCCAAAATCGAGCACTCAAGGACTTCTTTTCCTTGGCGATAATTGGTATTGCCGAAAACGTCATTCACCCTGTTTCGTTTCGTTTGACTAATTTATGATCAACCACAACCTAGTCATTTGTTTTTGACAATTCGAAAGACTGGATCACAATCGAGAAATTAGCTCTTTGATAATGGCTTTAAAATAACAATATTGAAAAATCATTTGTCTAGAAATGTGATCGTACGTTTACAGTGCTGAGTGTAGTTCATATTCTCTCATAATATGATCCCTGACTAACTGCTGTACCTTCAGGGGGAAAAATCTGAAACAAAAAACCGAAAGTTAGTTTTACAAAGTTTTGACTACAGTTGACAGAAAATACTTACTGTGAAATCTTAAGCCCAAAGTCCATCAAGGGTGGTACTGATACAAAGGATTCGTTACGTAAAATACCCTCAACTGTGGTGCGTGCTGTGTATTTTGTGGTCAATAGTTCGAATCTTTGTAGATAACCAAAACATAGAATGAGAAATGATAATTGATTAGTTGTGTTTAATTGGACGTTCGGCTATGCATAGGCAAAATTCCAATTAATAATTTACCAAAAGTTGGAAAATTAGTTACGTTTCTATTTGCATATCCTACCGCTTTTTTTTATTCCAGCAAGAAATATTCCTTACCGAGGTTTCTGGAGAAAATCGACAATGTCCTTTCGTGTGGCAATGTAGTATGGGCATACGCAAGTCGTTTGGATTTGATCAGCATAACCTTGTAACCGAAGTTGCTCGGCTACGGCTGCCATGAAACCATTCACGGCAAACTTCGATGTGGAGTACACTACGGCCCACGGGAAGGCATGAACACCAGACAGTGACGAAATAGCCACAATGTGCCCTCGCTTTCGATCCATCATTTTCTCCAGCACGACTTTGGTGGTCTGAAATGGGAGTAGGTATACGAATGTCGACCTTTGTATTAGTAAATTTTTATTAAGGCAGAGCAGAGCTAAGAAACTTTTTACGTGTACACAAATCTGTGTTTTTAGTGTTGTGTTATAGCTAATTACAGGGTGTCTGAAAGTAATACCAACCGGTGAACACTCGTGTTTATTTCAGTTACCGTGGGGACGTAATTTGTGATTAGTCCTTTCAAATTGTATCATTATTTATGTATGGGCCTAATATTTGAAATGACGTTTCACATTCATCTAGTGGTGGCCGATTTTCATTCGAATAATCGATTAATCGATTAACGAACCAAAAAGTAAAATATTTGTAATCGGTTATATCATGCCGATATAAGTATTAACATCTCCAGAGGATCATCACCGATCTTTTCAAACATGTGCTGCACTCTCATTGGTGGAAAAATGGCAGCAAAGCGAACAAAAAAAAATCGATTAGTTGTTAATCGAGTAATTAAAAGATGGGACATCTCTGATTTTGGTGTGATTGTTTTGATCAAAATGAGCGCAAAATTTCGAGGGGGCAGAAAAACCACAAAATTACCTTGAATACGGGGGGTATTCATTGGATGAAAGGGACCGTGAAAGAGGACACTCAAATGGAAAGTTTTTCTTCCGACAGTTTCATCTTAGTATTCATCTTTGGTAATACGAATATATAAAAGGTGTCCCACATCAAATTTCATCACGGAAAAAACGCTGTAGAAAATTGCCAGTTGACCGATCCTTTTCATACTTTCAGACAATAAAATACAGCTCATTAGTAAGCTTTTGGCATATATATTTCATTCAATTTCAATACTATAACCAAACACTCGCACCTTATGATTAACTCCACTATTTCCTTAATTTGTTTTCCGTCGATCTTGTTTTCCGTGCTGAGCACCAATGCTACCGACGCCAGGGAGGCAGCTCCCACACCTGGACCCTACATATCGACCCATCAACTCATGAACCGGGGACCAACGGTTTCACTTCCCTTCCTAACTTAACTCCACTCATTACACGGATAGAAATCTCCTTATACCTTTTGGTAAATTTCTATTGCTGATTATTCATAAAATGTATAAGTCAACTAATAGGCAGACGCCTTGCAAAAAGCTAATGGAGATCATGTGTCAAATGAAATGTATAAGCGGTCACACATACCTTTTATGCATTCTTATAGGACCTATGTGGTTTGTCTTATGGAATGTATAAGGCTGATGTTTTGGCAAAAATGTTACACGTTAGTCACGAATGACCTAAAATGTGTTAAACAAATCGGATAAACGATAATCATTAGTTCAACGACAGATGAATTTCAATTAAATTTTAAACAAGACGTAAACAGCAGAACTTCAAGTTAAGTTGCTTTCATTTAAAACGTCTTGACTGCATAATGAAAGCACAATATGATATCAGACTTATGTCGCAACATTTGAAATCAAAATGAGTTTTTATTATGATAGGAACTGCACACTTTAATATCGATTTGCTTTCATTTTGTTAACCGACTTTGCTCGGGTAGCTCATCGATTCTTTCGGTTCGCCTCCTAGCATCGTGCTATAATGTACCAGGCGATAACCAGGGTAGTTGATCGATAGCTCGATGACGTCATTTCGTTGGCATCTGCAATGGGAAATTCTCATAGCAGGCGTTGACGATGGAACGTTGTCGAGTTGTTGAATAGCAACTATCGTGGTAACTCACCGATTACCTGTCGATCTTCCAAATTTGGATAGACGTCTGCATTGAATTGTCTCATATAATAATATTCCGCCCACTATATCAAAAGAAATTGCGAGTAGCTGAGTGGAATGGAGATAAGTTAAGCATTGGGTACAGGACCAAGTCTCCCCTGGGTGGTGCCAGAAGATGAGCGCAATAGAATCATCAAGTTGCCATAAGGCATGGAATGAGACTATTGCATGGCTGGGTAGTCAAAGTCTTCCATTCGTTAGTCATTTCAGGTGGGTCTCGCTGGATACGCCCAAGACTGGACGGGCGGTAGCTGGTGGCCGTGAACGGTTCCTGGGGAAAGCACTAGATGCGACCCTCCTCCCAGATGACCATGGCAATACAGGAAGTATTACAACAAAGGTAATTGCTATCAGATATGTTGCAAACAGTGACAGATAGCGGACATGAAGAACCAGTGGAAGTGCCGGGCAAAGGTGTTTATCCTAGACAAATGGTAAGTTACAAATTCCATGTTTCGTTGTCGTAGGCGCCGTCGTAGTCGCTGTCGTAATCGCCGTCGTAGTCGTAGGCAGTACCGTTAGTATATTTAAAATTAACCACCAACCGCTGAAAATATGAATTATCGCGTATTTCTGTTGTTCATTACATGCCAAGTGAAATTCGGGAACGTAATTTCATTTGAATAGCTTGTTTTACCAGGTCTCAAACTATCGTCACGTCAGTCATAGCTTGTTATGATTGCCTGAACCATGCGTAAAGAGAAAATCGAAACATTGAACGTCGCGTAAAAGTGGATCTTAATGAAGGCCTAAGTACTCTTTCGTAGCTTTTAGTTTTAGGATTTCAAAGGTCGTCGGTTGCAGTGGCTTGCTTACTTAGCAGAAAAACACGGTCCCAGGTCCTTTCATATTTAAAATGTATGGTAAGATGTCGACTTTTTGGTGTCGTCGGTGCCGGGTTTGAATAGTTATACAAACTTGAGTAACGCTATAATGTGATATGAGGGGCTCGGTGGCCTTAGAGCAACCGGTTTTGCCTACTGAGCAGACCATCATGAGTCTAATCTCAAGCCCATCCACATTCAAGATTCTTCAATCGTTTTATTTGTTAACATGACTATATGGTAATAACAGCACCTCGATGATTAAAAAGGAGCTCGTCAGTCTAGTGGCAAACGTTTTTGTTTACTGAGCAGAAGACCGTGGGTTCAATCCCAAGCTCCTTCGCGTTATATGATGGTTAGGACATCAATTCAGCTTATCGTTTACCAAAACGAACCCTGCTGCAAACTCAACCCTATTACCCAATATCCCAGTGATTCCTCGTGGAAGTGCAGAGGTGTTCTCGGCTTTCATCAAAGCGAGTGTCACGTCAACACATTCCTACCCCTTCCTTTCTTGACCTGTGTTCGGGCGCGGCCGGCGCTGGTATTGCCTAGTTTGAGATCACCAGTTTTTACACATTGAGGATGATTGCTAGTCCCAAGCAGCGTCTATTGGTTCTCTGTGTAATTACAGCTGGTGTGGCAATAACAGAGTAGCAACCGTGGGCGGTCAATCATGCTCATGCTCATGCTCAAACTATTGCTCTTCCATCATTGTATGTGATACTTAAATTTACTTTAATTTATTTCAGATAATTATAGGTAAAAAATTATCCAATGTACAGTTTGAAATTATGGCTACATGATTGTTACTTCTGTCATTCTGACTGCCTAACATGATTAGTGCGCATTTTCTAAAGGCGGAGCCAATCTAAAGTTAGGTATTCCACTCTGAAATCTGTGCAAGGGAAGCTAGTATCATCTAGAACAAAACGTCCAATGTAACACTCATTGATTATGTCATTGAGAAAAATCGTCTAATGTAACATGTCCGATGTACAACTTAACTGGTCAAAACGTCCTTTTTGGTTTATTTTCTATATTGTAGTATGAAGTAAAATTTTGATTTACCGTTTCTACTGAATTATCAACGTTATTATTCACTGACTACATTAAAAATAGTATTGCTAAATGTATTGTTTCTAAATAGTTAAAATAATAATCTGTCGCATTCGAGGTCGCATTTCAAATTCGATTTTTTCAAAATAGTGGATACGTTACATTGGTCTATTTGAAAAGTGACGCAAGAAGTCTCTGTCAAATTAGCAAACTAGAGTCGGTGTATAATGAGTCACGCCAAGTCTATCTATCGAACTGTCAAACCAGCTACCTATCGTGCAAAGTAAACAAACATTACGATGCTATGAAAGGTCCACGAAAGGTATTGCAATAAAATATAAAATATAATCGAAGAAATGGTAATAAACACGCAGTGACCATTCAATTGTAATGGGATACGTTTGGTAATGATCAGTAATGAGAATTTCTACTAATTTTTGTTAAAATAATTTGACAAAATCACTGATATAATGATTTACTACAGCCGCTATTATTTTTTCTCGCTAGAATTCATTTGATGTTGATGTAGAAGTCCTCTGTTGCCAAGTTAAAAGAAAGGAAATCTTTCGAAAACCATGATGCGAGTTCAACTGTTTTTCTCTTGGCGTGACTCATTATACACCGACTCTAGAGCAAACGACTTGGCACGAGCCCGCGAGCGAGCCCGTCTGATTTTGGCGAAGCTTTCAACGTGTCTTCATTTCATTAACATGTCTTCAGTATGGAAGATCATGATTTTTCCAAGGATTTTTCCAAAAAAATCTACAAAAAAAATCTAACTCTAAAACCGTTTATTATATAAAAATTGTGTCTGAGAAGAAGTTGTAGAGAATTGATTGGAATTTAAATGAAAAAATATACACTGAAAAATTATACGTTAAATTGTTGAAAAAAAAAATTAAAATATAAAATGTGAATTTCTTGTCATTTGAACTTACGATTTTTTTTCATTTTTTTTTTGTTTCGATGACCTTATGTCATAAGACAATTTATAAAGGTTAATCCAAGATGGAGCAATTTCAAATAAAAAAGCGTCAGAAAGAAATTGTTTTTATTAATTTTTCAAATTACCAATTAAAAAAATACCATATTTCTAAAACGGCTACAATTATTTTGATTTTTTATGACCTAAAGAATCATATTCAATTATTGTAATATTCTTATTCATTATAATTCATTAAATTTTCATGAAAAGTTTTCTTCCAGGATTTTTTTTTATTTAAAATTGCTCCATCTTGGATTAACCTTTATAAATTGTCTTATGTCCTACGCACTTAGATTTTTTTGCACCACTGAGCATTTATTTTTACTGAGATCTCTGCAAAATTTATGTTTGTTAGCCGAGAT